GGGTACTAAAGCTTTATCAAATGTTTTCCTTCCAATAAATGGATATTGAATGATTGCATGCAGACTCCCAGTAGTCTTCTGGTACTTCACCCATTCTCCAGCAGTTTCCAAGATAATGGCCAGAGGCTTTGCAAATCTACAATGCATTTCTTCAAAGCCTTGAGATGTAATTTATTTGAACTCAGAGAAGTGGATGTTTTGCATGATCAATAATATACAGTATTCCCTCTGGTTTCATCAAAATTGAAATAAAATATTTGTGTTTCAACCAGCTGTTCACAACTGCCTTGATATCCTCTTCTCAGAGAAAACTAAGCAAAAACTGAAGTTATTGGGTTTATTTTGGGTTAGTTGGTTAGCTATTAACCTTTTGCCATATTCCCGTGATGGCAAACCTATTCCATGCGTGCCGGAAGTGGCACGTAGAACCATTTCCCCCGGCACGCGAAAGATCACCTGGAAGAGCCCCACTGAACAGGTGTGCAAGCTGCTGCTGCCCAACAGCTGATTGTCGGGTATCTGGCACGCATACATGGGGTGGCGGGAAATACACACACATGTGCAGAGACCCACACTGCACGTGGGTGCATGTGCAGAGACGCGCAGTGGGGTGATCGTGTGCACATGCGCAGACTTGTGGCGGGGCGATCGCATGCGCATGCACAGATGTGTGGTGTGCGGCAAGAGGAATCGTGTGCGCATGCACAGACGCGCGGCACACAGCAAGGGGAATCGCACATGCATGTACAGATGTGCGGCACTGCAAGGGGATCTCGCATGCAGGCACAGAGCGCTGTGATGGGATCGCATGCAGGCGCAGGGGGTTGGGGGGGCCAGCATGCATTGCCTTCTGGGTGCTGGCATGCGAGAACAAGCACACGCACAATTATCAGCACACGAGCCAAAAAAGGTTTGCCACCACTGCTATATTCAATGAGCACTTCTTCTTTTGCATTCCTCCATTTTAATGTGTCTGAATAAATACTCTTTGTTGTATTTAAATAGTCTTTGTTAACTTCTGCTAACTTGAATAAAGCTTTCCAGATACTGGGTCTGGATAACTTACATACTGTATATTCTTCCTTAATTTTTACTAAACTTTTAATGCATCCATAGAAACTTTTTCTATTCCATTGTTTTTCTGATTGCAACTACTTGCAATAGTACTTTTAAGTGTCCTCTTTTACAAGAACTTTCATCCATCTTAAGCTTCTTATTTGTGTTAACTTCTTTTGTCTTAAAATCTACATACCTCTAAAATTATTGTGTAATCTTATAACTGGCAGAAACAGTGCATCCTAGGGCAACAATTTTTGAACCAAGCTACTTCAAATATGTTAATTTACAGGAAGTGTCCAAAATCTGGATGGAATTGAAATTTGATTAATTTTTGATCATGAGTGCTGCATGTGACATGGTTTAGTAGACCTGTCTTAGCCCCGCAGATGCCAAATAAACCAGCTATCCAGATAAACCAGCTATTCCTTTGGCCACCTATTCCTACTCTAAGTCTCTGGGTAGATAGGTCCAACCATCAGCTACTGTAAGGCAATTAGCCATGTTCAAACCAGCAAGATGTTGGAAGCTGCTCCCACTGCTTTTCTTCTTCTTGGTCATTCTGTTTTTCTGTTTAGATAAGGAAATATCCCTGGAACAATGACCCAATGGATTAGAAGTTGTCTAATTCTACTTATAATTGCTGCAAATTAATTAAAAATGTTCTCTAAAGTATGCAATTGACATCAGTTTTAATCTTCCCATATGATTTCCAACGACACAAGAGTATTCTCCCCCCCCCCCATTCCAGCAGCACAACAGTATCTCCCCCCATTACTTAAATCTGTTGTTGTTAGTTGCAAAGTCATGTCCAACCCATCGTGACCCCATGGACAACATTCCTCCAGGCCTTCCTGTCCTCTATCATCCCCCAGAGTCCATTTAAGCTCACGCCAACTGCTTCAGTGACTCCATCCAGCCACCTCATTCTCTGTCATCCCCTTTTTCTTTTGCTTCAATTGTTCTTTTAAATCTACTTCATCTCTATTAATTAGGTTTAATTAGGATAGCTGACCACTTTGTGCTTCCATCTGAAAGTATAAGCCATCTTCCAAAGAAATGAGGAATTTCTGGAAAGATCATGCTGGTAACTTTCTTCAAATAGTTGGATTAATGATAGCTCCCCCACCCACCCTTACTATAAACTTCTTTAAAATACTAGCAATTTGCTTCTGAAAACTATTGTCCATATCTTTTTGGTTAGATGTGTACAGTACAATGCGCTATTGCTCTTATTTGCCCTCCGTTTATTTTAATCCAGATGCTCTTGGGAATATTCTCAAATAAATTTACTTTCTATATATTTATAGATATTTAATGCAACACATTTCTGTAACATCAAATCACAAAACGATTGTAATGTTTTTGATCATTTTTAATAAGTTATACTCATCTGCTATACAGTATTGAAATTTTAAAAGCCATTTCATAAGAACTTAAATAGATCTATTAAATTATATTTGCCTTCATTTAATTGTTCAGATTTATCTTATTAATTTTTATACTCTGAGCATTAATTTATAGATGTTTTATCTAGGTTGCTCTATAAATACAGGAGACACAGCATAGTAGAATGAACAAGTCCACAACACAAACACAAACAAGATTGATAACCAAGGCTGTCAGTAAAATCAGTTTCTTGAGTTCAAGATAATTGGCACAGAGAAGTCCAAAGGGTGAACCAGGATCACCGGGCAGGATGAGACACAAGGAATTACTACCAAAAAAAATTATGAGCAGCTTACTTACTGGTAGTTGCAAGATGTTGGCAATACTTAAAGACAATCAGGTACCGATTGTAGTAAGAACATCTCCACTGAGCCTAGAAAATGCTAAAGACTCTTTATTTACATGCTTCCGACATAGCCATTTACTATGTCTAGTCTCATATATCCAAGGCAAATGACACTAGATAACGAAGGCTATAAAGTTGAAGAGGCCCTTTCAATTGTCTCTCAATGCATAAGTCCTTAAATTTTTAATTCTAGATTTCCCCTCCAACCTTTACAGGATTCAATTTTTAAAAACCCTCATGATCAAATCCAGCATGCTTTTGTGAATGCATAATCAATGCTTGTGATATGTAAACCAATTCAAGCAATGTAGTTTATGATCCCTCAAACCAAATAAAAATGTAGACAAATATGAACATACTGTATATTTTAGAAGTTGCAAATATTGAGAGATACCAAATGCAAGTTTTATAAAAAAAATCCATGTAGGACTTTCAGGTAGGGCAATGGCAAGCTAAGACCTTATGAGGGAGGTAAGATTCTATTAGGGAGGTTCTTAAAAAGATAAGAGACAGAGATATTGGGGGGAGAGGGGAGGAAGGAAAGATATCTCTTGATTAGCTGAGATGACCTTACCTGTCAATCTCACTTTCTAAATACTTTTGGATTTACAATTATTTCCAAGTTAAAGAAGTAGTCTAAGTAATGTTTTAAAAACTACCTGGTAAATAGAAGTTCATCCCTAAGTAGAAGAAAAAGAAATTCAGAGAAAAAATATAAAGGCCAAAAGCAAAATAGGAATTTAATTCAAGAAAAATTTAAATGGATTAAGGGACAAGAAAGAATTTGGAATATTGGAATTTTTGCTAAGATTTTTGAAATAACTTTTGCTAAGGTTTTTGAAATATTAAAATCAAAATATTAATAAAAACAGAAGAAGGGATGTCCAGAATGCGGCTGGTGGAATACAAGGAATGAACTCAATTAAACACAGGTAAGAATTGCTATTAAAGTCTACCTCATGGTGATTTGAGTGGCGAAGTATAAGTACTGTTCATACTAATTGCACCTGCAGGTAGTTGGCCAGCAACCTTCTTTAAAGTGAGCCATCTCCTCCTGGGGAAGGATACAGAAGTCTACATGAAAGAGTGCGTTAAGAAATCTGATTTTCTGAAAGATAAAATTGCTCGAATTTGTTCCCATTTAGATGCTGGTGTGGTTGCTGATCTGGTGGAGACACCCAGGGTAGCTTCTTACCCAGTTATCTGGGAACAGTTTGACCCTGTTTGATCCTGTTCCTGAGGAAATTGACCTAGAGAGTGTGTGTGCAACTACTTTTTTAAAATCCATGCCCCTGCTAGCTTGTGGAAGTATCCCGAAACTGACATGTGGGTGGGTTCTAATGATGATTAATGTTTCCCTATCGGAACAAGTCATGAGATTCAATCCTATTGAATAATTTTCATCCTGTCTCCAATCTTCCTTTCGGGGAAGGTTTGTTTGTGTTTCATATTTCTAAACTGCCATCTCATTAAGGAGGTTGTTGAGAAAGTGGCTGTGTGGCAACTCCAGAGGTTCCTGGATAAAATGGATTTTCTAGACTCTTTCCAGTCAGGATTCAGGCCTGGACGTTGGATGGAAACAGCATTGGTTGTGCTTTTTGCTAATCACTGGTGAGAGCAGGATGGGGTAGTATTTTAATCTTCATTCTACTTGACCTCCTAGCAGCCTTTGATGCAATTAACTATAGTATCTTTCTGGAGTTGCTTTGGGGATTAGAAGTGGATTGTTCTGATTCATTTCCTTCCCTTATGGTAATTCTCAGACAGTGTCGATCGGAAGTGAAAAGTCTAATCCTCATCCTGGACCAACAATCCTGCTCTTAGTCACTCGTGTCCTAATCACCTCCCATGACTATTGACTATTGTAATTCTCTCTACATAGGGCTGCCCTTGAAAAGTACAGGGCAGTTTCAATTGGTTCAAGATGCAGTTGGCCTGCATGGTTTTGTGCAGGTCTAGATGTGCACGTTCACTCTCTTGCAGGAGCTATGATGACTGCTGATTGGCTCCTATTCAAGGTGCTGATTTTCACCTTTAAAGCTGTACATGGCTTGGTACAAGGATATATGAAGGATTGTCTTTTCTTCCTTGACCCATCCAAATGAAGATGCAAGGAGTGCTACAGGTCTTTTATATCCTAAAAGGGTTCCTCTAATGCAGTGGTTCTCAAACTTCCTTATGCCGCGACTCTTTAATACAGTTCCTCATGTTGTGGTGACCCCCAATCATAAAATTATGGCTTGGTTCCTAAGACCATTGAAAATATGTGTTTCCGATGGTCTCAGGCGACCCCTGTGAAAGGGTTGTTTGACCCCCAAAGAGGTTGCGACCCACAGGTTGAGAACCACTGCTCTAGTGGGACCAAGGGCCTTAGCCAAGGTAGCTCCTTTTGTGTGGACCATCATCTCTATGTAAATATTGGTCCCTATTTTATTGCAAGGTCCTGGTTTTGTTAATGAGCCTGGGGACTGTAGGATGGGATGGAACCCATCAAATGGCTTATATGATTGATTTTTGTCACCAGGTGTGGGGGGGATTAAGGTTTATTGCTTTTTATGGTATTTATATTGGATTTTTTCTTTCAAAGTCACTTGGAATCAATATGTGGGAGTTGGGCGGCTATATAATCTAAAGAATACAGTAGAGTAGAGTATTTGCGTGAATATAAAGTGTTTAATCTATCATAAAAAAGTTAATTGGTTGAAATTTGAGGATTAAGAAATGAAGAAATCTGAAACTGCATATTATAGGAGACTGGGTTCCAGGCAGGAAAAAAGAAAAAGAGACAAACCTCTTTTTTAAAAAAAGAAAACCTTGGATTTGAAAGAGAAACAGTGAAACTACAAAATAACAGATAATGACATATGAGAGATTTTAAAAGTTTTTTCCAATGTATATTATTTAGCTAATTCAAAGAGAGTTACAATACAAAATGCCAAAATATTTAAATGAAAATGACAAAAAAATAAAAATCACAACAAACAAGACATTAAAAGTGTCTTTAAAAAAGATAAAAAAAGACTAACACATATTTTAAGAATTGGTAGAGAAACCTATAGTATACTGACAGCAATAATTACTGCCTCTGCCAATACATTTCTTGACAATCCTAAAAAGGAAACAAAAGATGAGAAAGAATAATGTGGAAGACCAGCAGGGTAAAGAAGTGAAACAAATTACAACTGATATAGAAACACTGGAAAATACTGGAAAATACAGAAAATGTGGATTTAATTTTGTAATTAAAAATTATTTGACAATGACCAAATTTCAGCAGTATGATCTGGGGATGTCTTGGGGGGTAGGACATTAAGAGATTGTTTGCAAACCACTGGTTGCTGATCTCCACCTTAATGTATTACCCTTATACACATACTCCCTCTTTATGGTTTGTAAACTGTTGAAATGAAATAATTAGAAACCATAGTTGAATAAAGTATTACTTTTAGTTTCTTATTAAAACATGTCTAATTGGCTTTAACAATTTTATTATATTTTTTTTTAAAAAAGGGAAAAAAAGGTTTGGTATTTCTGTATAAAACACAATCCTATGCAAAATTTCCATTTCTGTCATGCAATAAAAAGGCAGCACATTTCAGAACTGGAACACACAACAACTAAATATCCTGCACATTTTATTCTTCATTGACTTTGAAGTCAATGCAACTTCAAATAGAGAAAACTGGCATGTATTTATCAGGTAATACAGGTTTTCAGCAAAATTCTAGACGGCAATTGTAATGTTTTTATAATTTTGCTGGATAAATAGTTGCATACTTCCTATACATTAGAAAAAATGGAATCCTAAGTTTCCAAAAACTAAACTGAAAGTTATCATCAACTTATGTGGGCATATCAAATTCTAAATCTGGGAAGAACTGTTCTGAATTTGATAATCTCATTATCCTACCATCCTTCTCTGTTTCTTTCTCTTGATGCAAACTTTGATTCCTTTGGATCTTTATTCTGAAAGGTTTCTACTGAACACATCAATGTTTCTTTTGTAAAAATGGCATTTTTTGGTAGTGAGCAGTAGCAGAAATGCTATTAAAATAGATCTGTTCTGTCTCTCTTATCAAAAGAAATATTTTAAATTGTTATAGCATACAGCTCTATAACTGAAATAGACATACATTTTTAAAAATACATGTAAGAATTGGTTGTTTTAAAAGGTTGAGGAAATCAGAAATATGAAAGACATTTATTCAGGGCAAAGAACAAAGAGGAGATGTAAGATGATGGTGGATACCGAAAGGAAAAAGATATATAAAAGTTAGTGAAGCCTGAAAACTGAAAAGAATGAAAAAAAAAACCCAGAACATTTACAGATATAAATGCAAGCTATATTTTTGAGTAGATTTTATTAGGTTTGTGCAGAGGCACTTTTCTCATACTACGGATGAATTTACCAGATGGTATGATTTTACCTGGAGAAGTTTATTCTGAAGATATTTCAGAATCAAGCCCCAAATGGCTGTAAGGGTCCAAACATTTTTAAAAAATTATTCTTAGAAACATATTAGCAATTATGGCAATACCTACAGTATCATTGCAAAGATGAAGGAGCTATTATTGAGTATAGTAAAGGCAGCTGCATTTCGCACCACTGGTGAAATTTCTCCTGTTTCCAGCTTCTGAAAAATCTCCAGCTTCCAATTGCCCAGTCAGGAGAAATCATAAATCCAGGAGTTCTTTCAGAGGAAATTATACTGTAATTGGGACAGATAAAGAACTAGATGTTTTTGAACAAGCAGTAACTCCAATATTTTATTACAGTGTGTTTCATTCCATCAAGGTATGCCCACAGCTCAGGCAATTGGGAGCAAGATAGAATTAGGCATTTCCTCAATCCAACCTGTCATATGATCTTTCAAAGAGGTTCATTTAGATAATAAAATGTAGTATACATATAATTTCTTTGTTTGACAAATTTCTGAACTGTGAGATTCCAAAAAGAAGGGTCCATTTTATCAACCTATCCTACCCTGCCATCAGAGATTTGAAATTTCTGGTCAGGATTATTTTCACTGTAAAATAATACCTTTAATCTGAAATCTTCATATGCAATATAAAAGGAAACAATGACTGGCAGTGAATGCAGTTGAGAGATTAAGAAGAAAGGATCCACTTCCCAGATCTAGGTTCCCAAAATATATAATCTACCAATCATCAATTCTACTTTGTTCTTTACCTAGGACTGAATCCTGACTGAAAAGGATCAAATTTTCTATTTCTTAAGAGCCCTTTAAAGATAACACTATGCTGACTTCCGGTCTGAGCTTCTTCGGCGCCGGACCGAAATCCACGACCATGCGCAGTTTTGATCCGTGCTTGCCGCCGGAGCACCCTGAGCTGGCTGGATTTGGGGCTAAGCCATCCTGTAGAGGTGGTGAAGAGGGGGGAGACCACCAGCAGGGTCAAGAAGAGCCACATCTCTCCTCCTCAGCTAACCATTACTCCCTTTCCCAAAGGCGGTTGCAGCGGTGGTCAGAAATAGCCACCTCAAAGAAGAACACAACCGGAAAAGAATATGCAGGAGGAAGATAAGAAGAGAAAGTTTGGGTTGACTGGGTTAAACTGGAAAAGCAACAACGTAAGGTACCCTGGAATTTGAACTATAAAAAATAACATTGTTCCCAAAGAAGATTTTGAAGCAGTGAAGGAGAGGGAAGGGAAAGGATTTGGCTTCTTTTTTTCCCTCCCCTTCCTTATACTGACAGCTAAGAGATTTAAGTAAGAAATTGACAAAAATCCACTTTGACATCAATTGGCATTTAAGCTGAAAATAAAATGTCAAAGGGATAACAAAGACTTTTGAATACTCAAAAACCTTTAAAAGCAGGAAAGGAGAGAAAAAGAATAAAAGGGCGGGATCTGGAAAAATGGAGGAGACTGCCTGGAACTAAAAGGAACATACAGTGAACCTTTAACAAGATTCCTAAAAGATACATTTTAACTGAAACTTTGTAACAAAATAATAGAACCCCAGGAAGAGAAAATGGAAAAAAGAAGCAAGAAGAAACAGATTTGGATTATTTGGATTACTTGGTGATTTTTGGATTTTTGGCTATTGGATTTAAATGACTAAAATCAATCGGGTGGTTGTTTAAAATGGCATCAGTTTTAGAAGAACTGAAAATGGAACTTAAAAAACAGAAATAAGATGCACAAGAAGGAGGGAGTTCTTTTGACTTCGTATTTCAATTTTTAGAAATTGAGCTCTGGAACTATGAGAAACAACAAGAAACACTCGAAGAACAAGAAGGTTGGGACAAAGAAGAAGCCATCTTTAATGATCAAGTAATTTTATGTGGGGGGAAAAGGAAAGGGGGAAAGAGAGTGAAAAGTTTAAGATTGGAAAAAAAAAAGAATTACAATATTAGGAAGCAACAGAAGAGAGGATCACAGAAGAGAGAATCAGAAGTAGAGAGACAAGGGGGCAAAAAGGGGAGGGAGAAGAAGAGGGGAAAGAAGGAAAGGAAAAGAAGTTATAAAATACAGAAACAAGACATAGAGGGAAAAGGTATAAGGATTGAAAGTACAAGCCTATTTAGAGATAATGGGTAAAAATTTAATTGAAAAAGGGATTCTGCAAAGGTACATAAGACAGTATTGTTATATTAGAAATAGAAATAATTTTAGAACAATGTACACTGCTCAAAAAAATAAAGGGAACACAAAAAGAAGACATCCTAGATCTGAATGAATGAAATATTCTTATTAAATACTTTGTTCATTACATAGTTGAATGTGCTGACAACAAAATCACACAAAAATTATCAATGGAAATCAAATTTAGCAACTCATGGAGGTCTGGATTTGGAGTTACACTCAAAATTAAAGTGGAAAAAAACACTACAGGCTGATCCAATTTTGATGTAATGTCCTTAAAACAAGTCAAAATGAGGCTCAGTAGTGTGTGTGTGACCTCCACGTGCCTGTATGACCTCCCTACAATGCCTGGGCATGCTCCTGATGAGGTGGAGGATCTCCTCCCACACCTGGACTAAAGCATCCCCCAACTCCTGGACAGTCAGTTGGTGGATGGAGCGAGACATGATGTCCCAGATGTGCTCAATTGGATTCAGGTCTGGGGAACGGGCGGGCCAGTCCATAGCATCAATGCCTTCGTCTTGCAGGAACTGCTGACACACTTCAGTCACATGAGGTCAAGCATTGTCTTGCATTAGGAGGAACCCAGGACCAACTGCATCAGCATATGGTCTCACAAGGGGTCTGAGGATCTCATCCTGGTACCTAATGGCAGTCAGGCTACCTCTGGCAAGCACTGTGCGGCCCCCTAAGGAAATGCCACCCCACCCCATTACTGACCCACTGCTGAAATGGTCATGCTGGAGGATGTTGCAGTCAGCAGAACGTTCTCCACAGCGTCTCCAGACCCTGTCACGTCTGTCACATGTGCTCAATGTGAACCTGCTTTCATCTGTGAAGAGCACAGGGCACCAGTGGCAAATTTGCCAATCTTGGTGTTCTCTGGCAAATGCCAAACGTCCTGCATGGTGTTGGGCTGTAAGCACAACCCCCACCTGTGGACGTCGAGCCCTCATGGAGTCTGTTTCTGAGCATTTGAGCAGCCACATGCACATTTGTGGCCCGCTGGAGGTCATTTTGCAGGGCTCTGGCAGTGCTCCTCCTGTCCCTCCTTGCACAAAGGAGGAGGTAGCGGTCCTGATGCTGGGTTGTTGCCCTCCTATGGCCTCCTCCACGTCTCCTGATGTACTGGCCTGTCTCCTGGTAGCGCCTCCATGCTGTGGACACTACGCTGACAGACACAGCAAACCTTCTTGCCACAGCTCGCATTGATGTGCCATCCTGGATGAGCTGCACTACCTGAGCCACGTGTGTGTGTTGTAGACTCCGTCTCATGTTTTCACTAGAGTGAAATCACCGTCAGCATTCAAGTGACCAAACCATCAGTCAGAAAGCATAGGAACTGAGAAGTGGTCTGTGGTCACCACCTGCAGAACCACTCCTTTAATGGGGATGTCTTGCTAACTGCCTATGCTTTCCACCTGTTGTCTATTCCAGGGGTCCCCAACCGCCGGTCCGCGGACCGGTACCGGGCCGCGGAACAACCCTTACCGGGCCGCTGGTTGCTGGGCGCCGCCATCTTTTTTTTGGTAAAAAAGCGTTTCTGGTGAGCTTTTCCGGGTAGAAAGCTCACCGGAAGCGCCTTTTCGTCATAAAAAGATGGCGGCGCCCAGTTGACGCCGGTACCGGGCCGCGGCGCCCAGCTGATGTCGGAACCGGGCCGCGGCGTCGAAAAGGTTGGGGATCCCTGGTCTATTCCATTTGCACAACAGCATGTGAAATTGATTGTCAATCAGTGTTGCTACCTAAGTGGACAGTTTGATTTCACAGAAGTGTGATTGACTTGGAGTTCCATTGTATTAAGTGTTTCCTTTATTTTTTTGAGGAGTGTATGATTAAAATAATTGTAATGCAGTGGAATGTTTGTTAATAAATAAATGAAATAAAGTGAATGAGGGAATGAAATTAGGAAAGGATAGGAACATTTTAATTATTATTAATGATTTGGAAAAAAAAAAGAATTATGGAAAGTTTATAAGTGTTCACAAGGAAGTATGATATTCAATTGAAAAGAAATGTTAAAAATGTTAAGATTCTAACTAATATTAATGATAGAATTGAATTGGAATGGAATTAGTGTTTTATTTACTACTGTCATATATATACAGTATAATTTTTTAAAGAACATAGTACTTTAAGAATGTACCAAGCAGAATTCGATTGGAAGTTATGTACTATATTGAATGTTATAATTTTAAAGGCATAAATTGAAGTTTAAATAAGAGTTGAATGGATAAAATTAAAAGATATAAAGGTGTCATACTCCAATTAGTAACTACAGGGGAAAATTTGTTCAATGAGAAAAGATAATATGAAATTGAAACAGGACAGACAAAAGTATAAATATAATGATTGGAAAGACACTGAAACTTAGAAAAAGATATATAATTGAATTTAGATAGATAATTAAAAATAAAGTGGAAAAAACCAAGGGAGGGGAAAAATTATGAAGAAAATATTAAAACAGTTATGAGATATGGAATAGAACACAAAGATGAATATGAAATTGAGTTGGTGTCTGTATGAAGAAGTGATAACCCGGGATCATGCTATTCTCAAAAAAAGATGTTTTATTTGTATTATGTTTTTGTGAAAACCCAAATAAAATTTATATTAAAAAAAAATAAAGATAACATTATGCCACCTACTCAAAAACTTTCTCCAAAAAGTCTGGGAATCATTGTCATTTGTTCAAACTACCTGGGTCTAGGGAAAGTCTCTTCAAGAGGATATACTAATGCCTAAAGACATTATAAGAAGTCTTAGGTTTACAATTGTAATCTGATAGAATTAGATAAAATCCCAGGGTTTCAAAATGTCATCAGACAAAACCTCTTTTTTTTGTTTATGCCACTAATTTTTGATTCTGCCTATTAGTTGCAATTCATTTATTTTAATGTGTTTAATTATTTCCTTTAAAATTATTTAAATGCATTACTTATTGGCAGAAAAACAGAATGTATCTAATATATACATAACACACACACACATAAAGAAGTAGAGCTATGAAGGAAAAATAAACTTCATAGACAATAAACAAATTGGAATACTTATTCTTTTTTCCAGTTAAACATTAAATGTAAAAAATCTTAGAGTGTACTTATTGTATCTTTCTACTCTAGGTCAGATAAGACAGGCATGTTTTTAGTCCTTTCCTATAAACATTACCATTTTATAGGAACTAGGAAGCATGTCTTTTTTGTGGCAGTGCTATGCAGCACATTTTCCCCTTAACAGGCATGATATTCCCCTCTGAAAAAAAAATCTGAAAAGTAGCCAGGGGTGCCTTTTCCTTCCGACCTCGCCCTCCTCCCCAAATCTAATCATTCCCCCCCCCACACACCACCGACAGGACCCTGGAGGCACCGGATCCTAATTATCAACGGCGGGAAGGGAGTAAAAAAAGAAAGGGAAAAAAATTCAGAATTGTTAATCAAGGGAGCTCTGGTTCCAGTTGCCGTTCCAAGCTCTTTTTTTTTTTCCCCTCCGCGCGACTTCCCGCAGGGGAATTTTCCGGTAAATGAACATTGCTTTCGCTCTCCGGAGGGAGCTGCAGCTGTCTGGCTCTTTCCACACCTCCGTATCCCCAGGAAACCTCTCCCCCCCACCCCATGCCACCCCCGTCTTCTTCTCTTCTCCCGCCTTCCCCTGCCTCGCAAGGTAGGTAGCCAAGCCGCTGTTCAGCTTGTCCGCTTGCCAAGCCAGCCAGCCCGCCTGCTGCAGGGATGGTCCAAATTAACAGCGCTGCTTATTGAGTCGGAGGTGGGGGGAGGTAGGAATTAGGGGGAGAGGGGACAGAAGGGGTGAGGAACAGGAGAGGAGACGCCTTGGAAACCATGCAAGAACTTTTCTGCTTCCGATTACCCCCATGCTTACAAGTTGCAAAGGAAACACGGAACTCAAAACAGCCCAGCTGCGTGGCTCGGGTCTTCCTCCCCACCACTTAAAAACGCGGAGTTCCGGCGCTTCCCACGCTTGCAAGCGGGGAAAACCGGCTGGCTTTTTTCCACCGACCAGTGGCAACTTTGCAAAAAAAGCATAATAATAATGATGATGATGATGTTCGGAAAAGAAAAAAATTGGAATTCCGATTTTAGTCGGAAGAATATCATGTATGCCTTAAGTTTGTTTGGCAGGCCTCAACCTTTCTAGTATTCCATAAAGCACTGAAGCTCTGACTTGTCCCCCAAGCACTGGGATAAGATGAGGTAGTTGCATATGATAAGATTAATATGGCACCAGGTTTCTTGTTTTATACATTTGTTTTAATACTTTTAATATGGTTTTTGTATTATTTTAATTTTGATTGGGAGATGCATCAAAATTAGATGGTTAGCTATTTACAATAAATAAGTTTCCCAACCTTTCCAGTTTTGCGGACTGGCGGGGGGAGAGAAGGGATGGGTCCGTGTGAGTGGCGGGCACACATATTTGCACGAGCAGTGAACATGTCTGCCCATCACTTCCACAGCCTGGTTCCAAACAACTTAAGGCCAAGTAGTGGGCTGCAGCCTGGTGATTGGGAACCTCTGCAGTAAATGATTTAAATGAATATTTCAATAGATTTAATGTATTTCTACTGTTGAATTTTACATTCAAAAGTTTTTTAAAAAATTAAAATTTGAGCAAAGTAATTTTTGGATCTAATTTATAGTCTTCAAATATTATGCAGAAGCAAAAAACCCTAAATTTTGAAAGAAAACTCAGAAAATAGGCATCCATTAGAAATTAAGGAACAACAAAAATGAGAATAGCCAAACAACAAAAAGCTGTGTTTTTCAATAGCGTCTTTATTTTTATACATTAAAAATTGGAAATAATTATTGAACAAAAGAAAATTACTTTCAAATTATATATTACCATTTTACAAGTAGCACATTCAATTTGGCATTAAAATAAAAAATAATTAGGTAGACTCACCACTATGATACTTGATATAATTTTTATTATTTTATTATGCACATTAATAACCATAGTAAACCTATGCACATAACCTGTTAATCTCTAATAAATAGGCCGGTACACTCTAATTTTTTCAAATGCCTTCATATATCTAGATAGGAATATATTTTTCTCCATACAAAACATATTAAATAACTCAAGAATGAGAAGTAAACTGAATTATTTCTGAATAAAAATGTACAGGACATTTTTAGTAGATATAAAGTGAATGATCCAACAAAGATGGGAACACTTAAGTCAGAGCTATAAGAGTCAGAGTATGCTGCAGAATAGAGGACAGATAGAACAGCAGACGTTAAAAGAGTGTTTAAATAAGGCAAGACATTGAAAACAAATGTTAAGAACTATCATTGAAAAAGGAAGCTTGCAGAAGGCAGCAACTATCCTCACAGTGAGTTAAAGGGAGATCAATGAAAGACCAAGGAATCAATTGTCACGGTACTCTTTCTGAAATACCCATGGGATTATCTTATGTTATGTCATAGGAGACACTGTCAGTCTTATGTGGCAGAATTATGTGGCACACTATTCTGTACACTGCCATTTCATCCTCAACATTTCATTCACAATATAAGTGTATTTCAAATGTCATTTCATCAATGTACACCATCATTTTTATTTTTCATTCTAGTCATACTGTCTATCCTTCCACCTTCTTTGTAAAAATATACCTGTAATACTTCTATGTATTGTCATTGTTCTATTATACAATAATATTTTGTGAATATTCTAGTCTAGCTAACATCATTTCTCATTCACAGCTGCCTTCTATCTTTCCATTCCAAGCTTAACCATATATTTGATTTCTAGTCAAGTTGCCCGTCCACTTTTTTTAGATTACTTCATTCATCCATTAACTCACTGAACACCGTCTTCTGAAAACTGAGAGGAAATCAGCATAACATAATTAACAAATGTTAGCAGTAAAAGTGAAATACAGGTAGTCTTTGTCTCACAACCACAATTCAACCCAAAATTTATTAAGTGAGACATTTGTTAAGTGAGTTTTGCCCCATTTTACGATCTTCCTTGCCACAGTTGTTAAGTGAATTACTGCAACTGAGAAGTTAGTAACCCAGTTGTTAAATGAATCTCGTTTCCCCATAGACTTTGCTTCTCATATCACAAAAGATGATCACATGACCTTGGTACACAGCAACAGTCATAAGTATGAACCAGTTGCCAAGCATCTGAATTTTGATCACATGATCTTGGGGATGTGTTATGACCCAGAGTTGGTATATAAGCAACATGTGCTCGGCGGAAGCTTGACAACTTTTATTCAACCACCATTCCCACAATCTCCGGTCCATTCTCCAAAATCTCTTCCTCCAGGCTACCCTTACAGTCCAAAAGCAAGATTTGAACACGCCCACCCACCCACCCATGCTTTGTGCATCTTCCCAGCAGTGAAAGTCCACAGGAGCAGCACCGCTCCGGGAAGAAGTCAGTCTCTCAAACTTGGCAAAGTTCAAAGCAAAGGATCAAACATCAATCCACACCAGCAAGAATTCTTAAACAAAGTTCTTCTCAGAGCCGTGGATTATGTTGCTGCAAAATACACTTGTTTCCAACAAAACCCCCTCCCCATGGCATCTCCTTAAATGCTACTCTCCAGCTGATCCTCAGGAGGAGGGGTGGGACTCCCTCCCCCTAAGCACTCAGGTCACCTTGCACTAACTCTGTCTTTCCATTCTCCGCACTTGGGGATTGGGTGGAGGTGGCATTTGCTTGCCTCCTCTCTTCCGCTGCCTGCCCTTTCCATGACTTCTCCCCTTCCTCAGTCAGCCTGCGTCCTCTCTTCCTCCCTGCCCACTCTTTCAAAGCCCGAGGGACCAGGACTGTCTTGTCCTCATCCTCAGGTTGTTCCTCAGGTTGTTCTTCATAGGGACTGCATCCTCCCCCTCTGTCGGCCCCGGCTCTATCTCCTCCTTGGACCCAGACTCCGACAGGGCCATGACAGGATGATGCAAAGATCATTATTGTGAAAGTCATAACTTACTTTTTTCAGTGCCATTGTAACTTTGAATGATCACTAAATGAACTGTTATAAGCCGAGGACTACCTGTATGAATTTAAATCAATGAATATCACAGATTTTTTTTCCTTCTTTGTGCACTGAATTAGATATTACTTTGTGCACTGAATTACTTTATGTAGCACTGTGAACTATTTCAGGAAGATGCTGGCAACTACCGTGTTTCTCACAAAATAAGGCCGGGCCTTATTATTATTTTTTTTGACCCCCGAACAAACAGCTAGGCCATCTTTTCGGGGGTGACTTAATTTCCTCTCCCACCTAGAGCGGCCCATATGCACTCCCCTCACTGTGAGGCCGCTTCTATTGGCCAACGAAAGCTCCCTGAAGGCAGAGTCCCCAGCCGCTTCGGGGCGAGGCGTGGCTGCCCGTGTCCCCTCACCATTAGGCAGTCTCTTTCGGGCGATGGAAGCTCCCCAAGTGCAGTCACCAGCCACTTCGATCGGCTGGTAGAAACGGCCTCGGGGCGAGCGCACACACACACTCGCCCTCGCCGCAAGGCCGCTTCTACCGGTTGATCAAAGTGGCTGGTGACTGCACTTGAGGAGCTTCCATCGCCCAAAAGAGACTGCCTAAAGGTGAGGGGACATAGGCAGCCATGCCTCACCCCGAATCAGCTGGGGACCCTGCCTTTGGGGAGCTTTCTTCGGCCGATAGAAACGGCTTGCAGCGAGGGGAGTGTGTGCGTGAGCTCGCCCCGAGGCTGCTTTTACCAGCCGATCGAAGTGGCTGGTGACTGCACTTGGGGAGCTTCCATCGCCCGAAAGAGACTGCCTAAAGGCAAGTGGACATGGGTAGCCACGCCACTCCCTGAAGCGGCTGGGGATTCTGCCTTCGGGGAGCTTCTATCGGCTGATGTTCTATCAGTAGATTGGGGTATTCTAGCCTAGGCTACCTGCAGGACACTCCTAAAGGCAAGTTTTCTCCCTCCCCTTCCCCCCCATTTCTCTTCACCTCGTGTAGTTCTAACGAACGATGTGAGAAATGGCGGGGAAACGCTTGGTTTAAATAGGCCTAAATTTTGGGGGCAGGGCTTAATTTCACCTCATGCCTAGAAATCATGCTGGGCCTTCCTATTGGTGGAGGCCGTATTGTTGGAGAAACACGGTAGAACATCAGAATTGCTTGATTTTTAATAGATAATATACTAAACTAGTACGGTTAGTGGTTAAGGTGCTGGACTTACTTTTCTTTCATTAGCCAACCCACTGGGACTTACTATGTGCATATAGCGCGAATTGGTTGCCAATATAGTGAGAATTGTTTTAATTTTGTAATCACAAAATCACAAGTATTAATTTTTAGCTCTCTTGAAAATGATTAAGATCCAAAAAGGCAAATTTGCACTGATAAAAGTTGGAGTCATCAAGTTTTCTAGATCAGTGATCCCCAACCTTTTTTACGCCGCGGCCCGGTATCCCCAACCTTTGTTATGGCGCGGCCCGGTACCGACATCAGCTGGGCGCCGCCATCTTGTTTTGATGAAAAAGTGCTTCCGGTGAGCTTTCTACCCGGAAAAGCTCACCGGAAGCACTTTTTCATCAAAACAAGATGGCGGCGCCCAGCAAGCCAGCGGCCCGGTAGGACTTGTTCCACGGACCGGTACCGGTCCGCGGACCGGTGGTTGGGGACCCCTGTTCTAGATTGTGAGATTTGCCTCTTTACTTGAGACAAGTCTATCCTCTTGAAAAATGGTAAATGCTAGTTTGGCATATATAAAGTTCCTTATTACATCTATAAACTACTAAAACTCTCATTCCTGCAATGTTTAACTGGTGAAACAATGCATCATAGGGCAACAATTTTTGAACCTCAAATGAGTTAACTTACAGAATATGTCCAAAATCTGGGACCCCTGATTCCTGTGGAATTGATTTTGGCAAATTTTATAAAACATTTTATGACATAAACTTATCATAGTTTATGATGTGATACAAAATGCAGAAGAACATTTTCGATGTAGAACCATGCTACGACCACAATTGGGACTGGGTTACCATTTAACCGAGAATTACACGTTGTTAAGTATCCACCACAATCCAAGCCATTCTGGGCTTGATTCCTCTGAGCCCTGAGCATTCGTAAGTTAAGGGACTGCCACCAACTCTCCACATTTGCCTACCTCTTCCGTATTGTTGGCTTTGGCTGCCCTGCATGTTACTTTACAGAGTGGCAAGCAGTTTCAGAACTGTGCAGAACTTGGAAAACTGAATCCAGTTCGTCACCTTCCCCATCCAGGACCGTTGTCGGCCTGTTGCCCCAGCTTACCTTTTCTGTCTTATTACTCCTGCTGCCCGTGAGATATGCCCAGCATGGCTACTTGGACACTTAGGCCTGGCTTCACATGGAAAAAAACTGTGAATGCACTATGCTCCTGGAATGTTTGGGACTGGCTATGCACCGTGAAAAGGGGGGGAAACCCCCAAAGCAGCTTAAAGGGATTTTCCCTTTTTTGCCATGTGAAACTAGCCTCACATGGGCCAGGGACACAGCACAAAGGGGGACTGGTGCACTATGGACCCTTTAAGCTACTTTGTGCCTTCCCCCCACCATCCCCATGAGAACCATCAGGTAGGCTGAGCCTGCAGTAATGGAATGTCTGAATGACCTTAAGAACAGTGGAGAAGAGAGGCTTCCTAGGGAAAATCTCTTTCCCCCTTTCTCAAGATCATTTATGCATTCCATTAAAGCAGTCTCCTCAGCAGCAGAAGCAAAATGTTAGAAGTGAAGGTGAGCTGGGAACAGGGCACCAAAAGGCAATAGATGAGAAAAGATAGGTGAGTGGAGGGAGTTTCAGCATACCGATGCTCATAAGTGTTAGCAGGCTTCTAAGCACCTGAATTTTGATCATGTGATTGCAGGGACACTGTAACCGTTGTAACTTTGGGCACGTGTTTTAAGTCTTTCATTCAGTGCTGTTTTAATGTCAAACAGCTGCTGAATAAATGCCATAAATTGAGAACCACCTGAGTCTATATAAATAGCATCTATAAGTAAGATTAACATCACAAGAAACAATAAAATCATACATCTGTTGACACATCAACAGATAAGATCTCCATTAAACAAAGTTACTACAAAAGAAAATATTGTAGTCTAACATATCCACTCTATGTCTTATTGAAATAATCACTTTTTTATATTTTCATAAGTTCCAATACAGGTAGATCCATACAGGTCTTGGGGAAAATGCAGTCTAAAGGGGACAGCAATTGAGAAAGCCCACTTCAGTGGTCCCTGATGATCTCCCCCAAGAGATCTAAACAGAGTCCATTCTTCCTGATAATGTGCAGTTGGTATGGTAATTCCCCTATCCTTCAGATTCCAAAAATAGTGACAGAGATATCTAATAAATACTGGACAGTATTCAGAACACACATTTCTAATGACTTTTCTAACAGAAAAATTAAATTGATCGTAATTAGTATGCTTAGCCCTGGAATAGCTGAGGATCACAACAAAACATGCATGACAAATATCACTCCCTTATATATTTACATTAAATACAAGAATACAAGTATTTTAGAAAGGCGTTTCTATGATGACATAATTCTACTTAATTTTGACATAACCACTTTTTGCTTGTCTTCCATTAACCATGGCAATTGGGATCGGAACCAGCTTCCCCACTGATTTTGTCTGTCTGAAGCTGGCACAGAAGATTGCAATGGCAACCACGTGACTATAGGACATTGCAATGTTATAATTGAGATCCAATTTATTCTGACAAAGGCAAAACTAAAATAAACCATTTCTTTCTTAATAAATTCAAATAAGCATCTAACAATCTATGGTTTAAAATAACTATCAATTACAATATTTTGTTTTCAAAATATGAGATACTATTTTTATCTCTAAGACCTAATATATTTACAATCACAACAGTGATAAAACTGAATCTATAAAAGAAATTATTCTCAGATAAATCATTTTCATTTAGGAAGGTTTTTCAATTATACCTGCTTATATAGAATAATAAATCAAACCAACTGCACCTCCTCTTCTAGTCATTGATACCAACTTGATAACATTAAAAAAAGTGGTGGAGCATATGCTTTAAACTTACAATAGTTGTAATGCAATCATATTTATTTGTGCCCAATCAGCTGCACATTGCTGCTATAAATAGGGGTAACTGAATTTTGATTACAACTTATACAACCCCCTCACGATACTTCTGCTTAGTATTTCTAATACCAAGAGCGGACATAAGGTCAATTAAACTGAACTGATATTTTAAAGAAAATTTACAAAACAAATTGCCTTTATACAGTATATATACAATTTAGCATAATTCCTCAATGATTATTTAATAAGAATCAAACACAATGTAAACCATCCTGCTGTCAGATATTTTTCTGCAAAGATTGAAGAAAATACTCACTATATCAATCAATCAATCAAGTGTAGTAATATTACATTTATAAAGCTATCTTAATAATTAGAACTCTGTTTTAATGGGTATTGTGTTTTACAAAATATATTGTTAGTATTTGTTCTAAAAATAGCAATGTTTCCAATTTTACCTATATCAAACCATAACAAACTTAAGATTCCTTTCCTTGCATTTACTGCCCATTTCTCGATACTGTTTTTTACTTGTTATCTAAAAGTTTCAAAAAAAGACAACATTACCAATTACATATGACAGTACCAATCACCTTTTTCAAGATAAATATTCTGATTTACATTACCTTAACTATTGAACATTATTTGTAATGCGGATTAAAAGTATTACCAATTCTATCTGTTCCTTCAATAATTTTGTATTTAATCTGTTGAGTTTTTAAGCTTACGGCATATTTCACATTCCAAAAATTTGAATGACAAACTGTTCTTTTCACCATTTAAAAACATGGCTAATAAGGACAAAGAAAGACCTCACACATACTGAATTGGAAGGAGCAGCTTTAGAAACTCCAGTTGTAGTCAGTAAATTAAAAACAAGCCCCTTACTTGAGACAGATAAAAGAGAAAGAAGCAAAGCTGAGAGCAGATCTGATGTTGCCCATGCCCCAGGAGGATTTTATTTTCACTATCCAGGCCGGGAGGGGGACATTTTAGTTATTAGTAAATAAATCAAGCAGCAGAAAGCAAGGCCTAAACGCCTGCCAAAGGAGTCCGGGCCTAGCTTTCTTCCCTCCCTTCCAACACAGCCTGGGATTGATCTCAGGGCCCTATTCGTTTGCCAAGAAAACGTAAAAAGGCAAGAGAGCGAGAGAGAAGAATCATATTGAACCACAAAAGCACATGGGGTGAATGTAAAATATAAACACGGCATTGGGCTCTGAGTGGCTGTTATTAAAGGCCTGAATTACTAAACATGAGAGGCGGGGAAAGTCGGGCAGCCATTTCAATAATATAAACCTCCCCGAATTAGACATTATTCAAATGAGAACGAAAGACGGAGGGATGTGTGAGTGTGTGAAGAGGAAAGAATTTAAAAAAGAGGCGCATTCAACCTGTCACCCAGAACCCTGACCTTGCCAAATAACACATGGGAAGTGGGGAAGCATTGTTGACCGCTCCCTCTCTATTCTCCCCTGCCCCGCTGCCCACAAACCATGGAGAGAAACACCCCCCCGCTCCCCACGCTCTCCCTCCATCTCTCAGAGGGAAGATTTGGCAGGCCACTCCAAGTCCTGTCGGGCAAGCGGACAAAACCGACCTAGTGCATTTCCTAAACGGAGCCCTACTTCCTTCCCAGAAAGGAGGCTATACGCACCCCCATATATACACTTTACTGATGGAGAGCAAATCCGCACGAGCAGCCCGCGCGCGCCTTCGAGGTTTGTCTTTGGCCAAAGATGCCCACCCGGAGGACAACCCCAAACTCCCTTCGGTGCGTAGGCCTCGGCCTCTGGGGAAATTAGGCTGCCTGCGAGAGAAGGGCAGGCGGCTGCAGGGGAGACGCAGAAACCCTTGTTTTTTAAAAATGCACTTTTCCCTGCCTTTCCCCAAGCCAGCGCGACCTCTGAGGGGACGCGAACTCAGATCCACGGGGCCCCCCAAAAGACTGTTTGCGGCAACGTTGAGCGCCCTCCTGTTGGCTCCCTACACGTTCCCCTCCTCCGGCCGTTGCTGCGCCGCCCCCCTTGTCTGAGCCTACTATTATACAGTAGATGAATATGCAAAGCAGGTTTGGGTAGCGGCGACAGCGGTCGGCCTAGCTCTCAGAGTTGGTGTCCAGGAGCGAGGGTGGGGGATCCTGTCCGTTGCCCCCCGTGCCCGCGCGTATGTGTATGCCTATCCGTGCCTTGTGTCTCTTGTGTCTGCACGGCGGCTACCCCCCCCCCCCCCGGCTCCCTCCTGTGCCGTTAATTATAATAATTCTGAGTACTAATAAATTATGCTAAGCGAGGAAGGCGGGCGGCGGGGGGGCGCGTGTACGAGTATGAATATGAATATGTAAAATGCAGTAATGATTACCTGCCGCCACCGCCGCCGCCGAACTCTCATCTTGACTCGCTGCTCCTCCGTCCGCCATTTTGAATATTTTAATCAAAATCGGCCGCCCGATAAACCCTCCCTTGCTTGTTTGCTCCTTGGCTGCCCCCTCCCTGCTCGCATTCCTTTTTGCGCAGGCGCCGACTGGATGCCTCTCTCCCTCTCCCTTTTTGCCTGACGCGGCCGGGGGGCCCCCCCCCCCCCCCCCCCCCCCCCCCCCCCCCCACTACTCAGTCACCCCCGCGCTTCCCGGCTCCGTTTGCTGGACGAAATCGAGACGTCCGCTATACGCGTGAGGGCGAGTGGGCGGAATATGGGATGGCCCCGGGGACCGAAGTAAATCCATGGAATGGAATGGACTTTTTTTTTTGCGACTCTACTCTAAAGCCGCAAGAGACGAACTCCATGAACAGTTTATTCAAATTACAAATACGCTCTGCCCTTGTTGAATCGCGGAGGGATGCTCACTTGTTAGTCTGCACCAGCTTTAGTTTTGTATTGAACTCTTACCTCACCTGATAGCTCCCACATTGCCTGGGAACAGAGCCCCCAGCTGTAGGGAATTCTTAGTTATTGCAATTTTCTTCCCACGTGCCTTATGCTACCGCTGGGTGAACGTTATTTCGTGTATACTTCTTCCTTTCGGCGTTTGAATCTTAAGCATTCCAGTCCTTTCCATATTTTATTCAGATGTAATCCCTGTACATTATTTGGAAATTCATTGTCACCACTTTCATTTTAGGATGCAGAAATTTCAGTTATATATTTCTATTATATTTTAGTTTTCCGGATTCTTTACAAGTTGAATGCAAAATAAATACCAAGCCGAAGTTTTATCACTAAACTCTTATCATAAGAATAAACAGCATAAAAAGTTACAAAATGTCCATAACCAAAAAACATTGTGCAACAACTGCTGATCCTGCTCTTCCTCAGGAGGCTAGGATAGTCTGAAGGTAAAGAAATGGCTGGGGAAAGTTTCGGCCATGATCCCTTTACTTCATTTCTCCCTTCCACCTACCAGTGGGAAAAGCATTACCTTTAATGGGGGAAGGGCTGGAGGGGGAGGCAGATTTTGACAATTGGTTAGCGTAGTGGCTGGCTTTAGCTATCTGTCAAACCATGCTTTAATTTGGGCACGTTTTCATGTGTTTAAAGATAGGCCATCTATCCCAGAACATTATGAGTAGTCTGAGAAGGAACTGAGAAGAACATTGGATGTTGTGAGAAAAGGTTACCTGGCAAATTTAAACGTCAAAAAGTTGCAGTCTCTTTTGAAGGAAAAAACCCCACTGAGATATTGACAAATCATATGAACAGTACATGAAGTGTGAGTGAAGAGTCGAGTGGTATATATTTACTCTTTGCTCATCCTCTGGAGTTTAAAGTATTGGAGGGTGAAGGACTTCATTAATGGATTTTAATGTGGAGACAAATAACTTTAGAGAGTTTAGCTATTTTCTTGCCTAGTATACCCAGATAAGCAATTGAGGGAGTGAGGGTGACTGGGAAGAGAATTATTTGTTGACACTGCACCTCAAAGTCAAATTCCACTTTGCTAATGTGCACACACACACACATCCAAGGGACCACCACCCCTCAAAGTGTGGTATTCCCAGGTTATGTGAAATATGTGTAATATCCAACAAACACTTAGAAAACACCAATCATTGCATATAAGCCAGGTGTTCAGTCTCTCCAGCAGTCCAACCTGAAATGCCACTGAAGGTAGCGATCAAAGGGCAGAAGACATGCTACAGCAGCCAACAGTGGCCAATAGGAGCTGGGTAGATCCCAGACTATGAATATATTATTACCTGCATAATTGATGATATGGTAAATTATAATCTATGTTTTGCCTTGGGTCAAGCGAAGGAGGAAAATATTACATTTAGACTGGAATCTCTAAAGATGAAAGTGAACTGTCTTCAACATGGGCTGTAGATGAGACAAAGGCAGTATCATAAGATCTTATTGCAGTATCTTTGTGCACACAGATAAAGAGATGAGCAAACAACCTGGAAGTGTCCTTTGACAACTCATTGTTATGTTTATCATCTAAGGAGCAAGCAACAATGGCAAAACTAGAAACAGAATGCAATTCTTATAAAATCACTTTTACAAAAGTTCCATTGCCCACAACTCAAGTGATGAGAATGTGATTTCAATGATTATGTAAAATTATATAAATAAGCATCAACTGGGTTTTTTAACAAAACCATTATTATTTAAATTTACAAAAATAGACATGTGAGTTTTTATGAACAATAATATATGAGAAAAGTGACAGACTTGCTTCAGTTCAGTTCAGGTGGTTCCATGGAACTTTTCAGGGAATTTTTGGTAGTTATACAGAAGGAGTTTGCCTTTTCCTTTTCCTGGCATTCCCCCACCCTTCCCCCATTTCACAATGTTGCCTATAGCCCTGCAATCTTCCATCCAACATCCTAATCATGTCCAACTCTTTTGAGCACTTTTGAGAGATCAGCCAAAGTAAGCTAAAACATCATTGTAAGGCTTTATCTCAATTCAAATATAAAAATAAATTAAATAAAAATAAAGTTTTACAACTTCATTCAATGTGAACTGAATTGAATTAGCAGTCCAGTTTTAGGAATAGAAGAGGTAGACGATGTGCCAGTCTTGCCCCTGTGCTGAACAAAGAGGCACCAGTCTTGATTCAACTGCAGTAACCACTTAAGCCAAAATGGTTGATAATTTTTTTTTAAAAAACTAGATCAACAAAAAAGTAGATTGCAGAATTCAAGTAAGTCTATTCATTTTTGGTGGTGGCACAATAAGAACAAGAATTGAGGACAATGATGAGGTCACTTGGTAGTATCTAACAGAAGCAGAATTACAGGACATGCTCAATGAAGTAAATGCTGATAGTAATAGGAGAATTCACTTCCCATAAGTGAATTTGACAATGATGGCAAGAAAAATGAAGGATAAAGACAGCCAGGAAGAAATTAGAAAAGCATTCTGTGTTTTTGATAAGGACAAGGTTATATTAGTGCTGTGGAACTTCACCATGTACTGACATATCTTGGAGAGAAGTTAATAGATGAAGTTAATAAAATGCTTAAAGAAGCATTTTATGCTTGATGGCGATGATTAAGTAAACTATGAAGAATTTATACAAATGATGGCAGCAGAGTGAAGACATAGCACAGCATGGGTTAAAATTATTGTACAAATTGTTTGCCTTTTTCTCTGTCTGTAACTTACCAAGGATTTTGACCTTCTGTTAAGACAGATGCATGTATAATAATAAATTCATTCCTCCATATCTTTCCCTTTGTCTGTTAACCTGATATTTTGGAGAAAGTATTTGTATATTATTTACTCTGGATGTTTAAGGCCTTCCACATTTCTAAGGTTAGATGGTGTTAAATGAGGTTAAATGAGGGTTCATCTAAGTTATATTGAAATTAGTTATTTTAGGAAATTTAGCAAAATGTTGAACTGTAGTTTCAACTTGGTGTGGAATATGGACGGTTGATAATATGGAACTTTAAAAAGTTTGCACTATTGCATGCTTGGTAGGTTATCCAGGTATTCATACATTATTTTTTCTACTCCTGGTCCTGTACCAGAAGACAATTTTGTTCTCTGGTCACTATGCTCCGGCCACTTTTTAAAAAAAGAATCTGCTTATGGCACAACTTGCCTCAAATCCATTCAAAAATGAAATTTGTTTTCCAATAAAAATAATTTTTGAATCAAATTTAAATAATTTAATTAATTTAATAAAAAATTGCTTTAAGCCATTTTCAATACCATATTCTTTTTATCACATAGAGATATTTGTACAAACACTATAAAAAAACAAACCATTTGCAGTATAACAGTACAATTTGATTACATTATTACCAAAATGTAATCTATGATAGAATAATAGAATATAGGGCAGCAATCTCAAGCCGGTGTCTTCCAGCTGTCATGCAGTGTAACGTCTAGAATCCATTGCCAACATGCCCCAAAGAAATGCTGACAAGGAAATGTGGGAATTAGTCAGATATGCCTGGAGGGATCATGTTGCAGGCGTAATTGTACAGGCATAATTGTAATAATGAACAATAATACAGGGATGTTATAAAGCAAACAAACTACACTTTCAAATTATACACACCTACTCATTGAAAATTATTTTCTGTGATCTAAAACGTGTTTTTGAATTAAAGAACTGAACTAAGCTAACAATTGTTCCACATATTTCAGCAGTAATTTGCATGTGAGCTGATTTAATCAATTTCTGTATCTTTAATTGCACATTTAATTTGGATATTTTTCTATATTAACTGCCTTTATTGCCCCTATGCCATTTGTTTGTTTTGTATTCCCCATGGTACCCAAGAAGAACTAAGTATCAACATAATAAAACACAGGTAAAACATCAAGGAATACTAAAATATCCAAATAAAATGATATGATCTCTGACTTGAACTCTAAGTAGGAGCAATAGTACAGTTCCACATCTTATTAATATTTCATATCATATCCTTCCTCTGGAGATCAAAACCACATTGTAGCCTCACAGCAACTTGGTGAGGTCATTTAGGTTGATTGTGAATTGCCCAAGAATATTGAGAAGGCTGAATCCATAGAAAGGGTTGGATCTTGTGCATCCAATATTCAAACCTAAAATGGTAGCATCTGGTCTACATTAATTGTAAATATGTGAAAACATCCTTAGATAAAGCTTAAAAAACATGTTAGGCAAGTAGGAATTCCTCTTTAAAAGGCAGCACCTGATAAAGCTGACTTGTACAAGTATAGCAATATGTTGAAGACAAGTGATTCCTAGAATAATATATAATTAATCTCTTAAAATATAAAGGCATAAAAAAGTGAAGTAATGGAATATTCAGCATGATACCAAGATGATAGAGTGAATGATGGCCTTTTATACCATTAACGAAAAACTGTTGCTGGACAAAAGTTGTCTGTTCTCTGGACATTTTTATCATAGTGCATCAGAGGTGGTATTCAGCAGGTTCTGACCAGTTCTGGAGAACTGGTAGCAGAA